AATTTTATTATATTCGATTCAAGCTATAAGCAATATTTTACATCTTCGCGATTTTTGTTAACTGTTTTATTATTGTACTTTTAAACCTAAACCGCGTTTTAATTCACGCCGGTAAGTTTGATTTCCTATTACATTTTTCTTTTATTTCATGATTTTTTTCAAAATAAGGTTTTTTGCGATATCGACACATATAAAGAATAATTTTTATCTTAGGATAATTATTCTTTATTCAGAAATATCGCATTATTTATGGCAATTAGATGTGTCTTGACAACGACTATTTGCTTTTACCATTCTTGTTTCTCTACCATTTAGTTTTTTATTTTTATTTTATTCATGTTTTTTTTCATGTTAATTTGTGTGTATATATATATATATATATATATACATAAAATAATAAGTGATCAAAACTTAAAATACTTAAATGGGAATTTGGACATCCACTCCTCTAAAACTGTACAGTGTCCTAGAGATTGGACACAGGACTGTGTTAGCCTGAAATCACACTCAACGGAGAGATGTTTTAAGTGAGACTAAACCTTACTAGGAATAGAGAATCGTTCCGAAAAACTGGTATTAGACCCAAAGATTCATCTTGGCTTAGACTCTCAACCATCATCGGCGGCCCAATTCCACCCTGGCGGCAACCGACCATGGGTTAGGATCCACCTTGGTTCTCCGTATCACCCTATTTACACTAGGACTGAAGGAAGAAACATCTAGCTGGGATTCAAACTCCAGTTCAACAGGTCATTATATTGACAGGGTCGTCCACTCGGCTTAAGTATGTACCCAGCTGTAACATCCTATTTAAACGAGGACTGAAAAAAGGCTTCTGAAAGCAGTCCTCCAACGTCAAAAGCCTGAAAAAAGCTTGCCAAATTTACCCCATTCCTGAAGTTAAAAACCCTATTTTGAAAGGATTAGGGAAAAATAACCACGTGAGGCTAAGAGCTAGCTAATCATCACGAGTTTAAATTCCAGCCTGACTTTGCCTGAAAGCATTGCCGGAGGTTAGAAATCAGGTTTTTTTTCCTCTTGTGACGCCACGAGTTTGATGTCAGGCCCAGTGTAAATGGTGTGTATGATCTATTTAATGGCTCCATGTTTCGAGTTACTTTCTTCCTTTTAAAAAAAAAAAATTTAAAGTGCAGTTACTTTAAACAACATATCTGTAAAATAGTTTTGTATCAATATTTATCTCAGCAGTTTAAAATTATTGAACACATTACGTAATTCTACAACTTACAGTCTTTTAAATAGATAAAAATTAAAGTTTTTTTTATTTAATTGTTTATTTATTTATTTTTTAAAGCCTTGCTATTTTAAATTTTTGAATCATTAACACAAAATCATATTGGAGCAAAATAAAGATTTAGCAAGAAAAAAATATAGTATTCGGATTAAATTCGGAATCTGAAATAATTCTTATAGATTATTGCTGTTTTTTTTCAAAAAACTTTTTCTGGTTATGGAAAAAACAATCAAAAGGAACTCTAATTCTTATAGAAATAAATTCTTAGTAGCAACATTATAAAGTTTATAAAAATATTAAACAATTTATAACAACACTCATCATAGAAACTGATTTATCTAAACCTATTTATGGTTAAATGTTGATACTCGCTGTTATTATTTTTTTTAATTATAATTAACAAAAGTTAGTATGGGACAATTTGAAATTTTATTTCTTTCCTTATTTTGGCTGGTAAAATATTTTCCAACATAAAAATAAAGCAAATTAATTAAATTAAATAATACGGTGTATCTTGAAATGTCGATATTTCGAGATATTAAAATTTTGATATCACTCGAAATTATTTGGTACGTGTTCTCATTAATTTCATTTAAAACATAGTAATACATACAAATAAGTGATGTTGAAAAAATAATTCGACTTACGATGCATTGTTACCATGGGAATGTTTTCTTAGTTCCTATGTAGCACTGTCAAACTAGAATTAGCACTTTTCAAAGCGAAAGAAAATATGTCATATTTAAGTTTTGGCTTTAAGGCTTTCATGTAATAAAACATAAATAATTTGCGTGAGAAAATATTTCTTTACAAGCTTACGAAGAATTTTTAAAACCACGGGAGGGATTTTTCAGTTTCTACGTCGTCAAACCATATTCAACACATCATAAATTGAAAGTAAATACGTGAACTTTTAAGTTATGATTTTGAGCTTATCATAAATTTATAGGTTTCATGTTATGTAATACAATTTCAAAATTAGAAAATACACTTACCTTTTAAATAAATCGCTTGAAATTAATTTATATAAATCCAAAGAAGTCCTTTACTATCCAATGAATCTTCGTAAATTAAACTATCTTTTAGTTAGTGAACTTTTTTGAGCCTGATCCAGATAAGTATTGATCATAATGCAGCAATATAACTATTTCTGTGAATTCTAAAGCTCTGATGCATCGCCTACCATATAGCAAAAACAACTTGTGTTGGCGGGTTGCCTTCTGACTTCGAAAAGAATATTTCTTTTCTCCCTTCTTTATTTTCTTTATTTTTTATGTTCCATTCGGGACTATTTCGAAGGATGACACTTTTCTTCTTTGAGACAATTTTAGATCTCACCCATCTTCAGTTTAGTCTGACTAAAATTGATTTCTAAGAAAGTGAAATCAAATTTAAGAAGAGAAGTTAATGAAATTCAGGTTGCAGAGAAGTCTCCAACGATTCCTAGAGAATTGTTTATTATTTCGACTTAAGGTAAGAATCAACTAAAGATGTCAACATAAGAGAATGCTTTAAAAACAATCGATATCGACGTTCTTGTGAGTAATTTCTGGAAGCTATTTAAGTTGGCTTTTCAACATGGCTTTTATGATTGTCATCACCTTAGTGATCTTTTAACAACTTCGTTTGTTTTGTTTACATGTCTGAAGTCATACTAAACTTCAAGCGCTCTTTGATGGAATCCCTCCAATAATTTACCGAACCCACGCACTCAACAATGTAAAACTCTTTATTGAATGTTTATACTAATTTCAAACTCTATATTATGAAGGTAATTTGTTTGTACAAAATAATTAAAAAAAACAACAACATAATTAATTTTGATAGAAGATAGGATTTTTCTGAATCGAAATCGTTTTTGTTTCATAACAATATGTATTTAAAAATAGCTACATAAATAATACCATAAAAATGTCATCCATTTTAAATATTGCAAGGAGAAACATTTAAGGTAGTTTAATCATATTCATTTTATTGCTAAATTTAGCTCTAAATTCATAACGGCGATAGCAGTTTCTGCCTTAGATAACATGGTAGAAGTACCATGCGAAAAAAAAAAAGCTTATCTTCTGATCGGTTGATTGATTTGTTCATTTACGTCGCACTAGAGCTGCACAATGGGCTATTGGCGACGGTCTGGGAAACATCCCTGAGGATGATCCGAAGACATGCCATCACAATTTTGAATTTGGGGATGGCACCCCCGCTTCGGTAGCCCGACGACCTGCTTATCTTTTGATCGGATTTTTACATAAGGATTCAATTTTAATGGTTTGAGAAAAGGTTTTGCCACCTTAAATGTGCTAATTAATCTGTGTAAATGATATTTTAAGCCATAAAATTAGTTCGAAAACACGAAAACGTGTTTTCGAAGAATTTGGATTCTTGACTCTAAAAATAAGGCGGTACTATTAAATAAATGGAAATTGCGGTGCTAATTATTTAGTTAGGAGAGCGGTCAAAAAATCGAGCCCCTTATTGTTAAATTCATTTTTTGTGTTTTTTGCGATATATTAGGAACTTTTTAAGGGATTCAAAAAAATTTTGCACTCAATTATAAAATTCGTTTATACAAAGATAAATCGAAACAAAAATTATTTCTTATAAATATTTATTATTTTATTTATTAATGGTTGAAAAGGTTTTGACAAATTTTTAAATTAATTCAATCGAAGTCATTTTAAATGATAAAATCCAAAAATTGAAAGGAATCGGTTGAATAGTTTTTGCGAAAATAAAAATTTAAAAATACGACTTCTTTGCGAAGGCGAATAAGTAAAGAGTAAAATTATCATCAAGGGGTTTAAACTTTTAACCATACTCCTATCTTTACGATTAGGACCATGCATTTTTCAATTTCATTCCGCGAACTGCGACGGCTCAGGAGATAGAGGGTTCGCCTTCCAAAGAAGTGAAACCAGTTCGAATTCCAGCGATGACTGCTAGATACGATTTCTGCATCCGGCTTGCACCGACCACTGTGCTGACGTGAAATATCCTCGTGGTAGACGAATCATGGTTTAGAGTCCCCTTGCAGTCAGGCTAATCGTGAGAGGTTTTCCTCACCATGTAACGCAAATGCGGGTTAGTTCCATCAAAAAAGATCTTCACGAAGTCAAATTTCTCCCAATACTTGATCCAAGAGTTCCCCTGTCTTCCGAATTGAGATCAAAATTACACGGCTGCAAAGTTGAACATTAGCAGTCGTAAACCAGAAAATCGGGTCGACCGTTTAACCGACGGTTATAAAATTTAAAAAAATTTCCTTCCGCATATTTTGAGGGTCAAGAATCCGTCGAAAAAAATGTATATTTATTTAGAGAAAGTACGTTTTTGCTTCTTATTTCGGCACTTAAAATGTTTTCAACGCAAATTAATGAGCAAAATTAAGATGAGCCATTCAAATCATTAAGTTTGGATCTTGGTAGGGGAGAGAGGGCTAATGTGGACATTTAGAATAACTTTTTCAGTTATTGCTCAAATCTCCTCAGTGAGACATGGTAGATAGGCAGGATGTCGAAAATGTTATCTTCCTACATACAAAGATCGCAAGGGCCGCCGCTGTTTTTATAGCATTCAACTTTCAACTTTGCTTCGCTATGCAAAAACTATAAGATTGGAAATTTACTGGCAGTACGAAGGGAAAAAAATTACACTCGATTTTTGGTTCGTTATTTACTGATGAGCTTGAAGCAAAGGGTACCATGCGCGCCGCACAGCAGGTCGTAAAAATGAAATTATGAACTTCGTACTGAAAAGGTCATTTTTGTTAATGAATTTAGCATGAGCTTTTTATTTTTTGATTTTTGTTTGCTCGAAAATATTAATTAAGATTAATGATGTTGTTGTTGCTTCTAATGTCGCTTGCCTAATGCCAGCAAGCCTGTTTGGTGAAACCAAGAGAATTTACGGCAGAGGGTGCGTTTCTTATTTTTCAGTGGCGCCGCATCCATGGACAAGAATATGACTTCACACACACACACGTCACAGCTCGTTAATAGGATGAATCTATACATACATTCATTCATACAGAGATCGTAATTTTGACCTAAATCAGAGAACGATCAATCTCCAATTCAGTACCCCCAAGGGTATTGATTTGCTATGGGAACATGGAAGACTTTATGACCCAACAAGTTTAGCGCGCATAAGTCACCAAATACTACATGAGGAGTCTTTGGCCGGCGGGGATCGAACTCACGACCACTTTGACACGGGTCCAACGCCCTACCAACCAGGCTATCCTGGCCACATTAAGATTAATAAACTAGTTACTATGAAAGTGCGTATAAAACTGATGGGATGAAAAAACTTCGTTCAAGAATTATCAACTGTTGTAAAAAAATAGCCTGTGTGCTGATCTACTTTCCGCTGAAATGCAACTACAGAGTTGAAATTTGACATGCTGAAAGAACCATTTTCATTTGTGAACTTATTGAAAGATCTTTTTTCTAAATTTCAATTTTTTTCGAAACTGTGTCTAAGTGTGTATGTATATATAAACACAGTTTAATGAAAACAGAACTACAGTGAGAATTAAGAAATAGAACAAATATTTCTGATCAGGTATAATTATCAATTTCTTCAAATATATATCATACAGATATATAGTATAAACAGATGACAAGAGCTGAGCCGTGACCCCGAGAGGTGACTGCTGAGCTGGGATTATCATATTTGGTTTGATCTTTTGTTCTGATTAATATATTTTGATGCTATTTGCGGCATTTCTCACTATTTTGTTTTAAATAAAATTTTTATATGCGATTTGTATTTTTACCCCCCTCCTAAAATTTGCTGGTGGTAGGAGGAGTCTAAAACCGGCAACTAAAAATGTGAGAGTACATTTTTAAATCCCCTGATTTGAACTCAAAATACGTAATTTATTTTTTTGTCTTCACTGTATGAAAGCAATCAAGCGAGAGCTTCAAAGCTGCAAGTGAACGCATAATTTTTCCACTTTCCTTTATTTGCACGTACATTGATAGAAACAATTAAGGGGGATTTTCTTCTTTTTGCAATTTAAAAAAAAATATATACAAACAAATAATAACCAAACTTGGCCTAGTCACCTATCCAGCACAGCAGCTGATCAACACACTGTCAGCCAAAGAAAAAACATGTCTAATAATGTGTTTAATCACCTCGAACAGCTACACAACTCTCGCATCGGCGTTTCATACTGTTTACCTCGGTTCTCATTAATCCCTACGGCAACGCAACCACTCATGTATACCAAGGCTTGAGTTCATCGATGGTCGTTGAACTTGGTCATCAACCTGCAAATGAGCGACCAAAGGCGCCCCACACGTGATCGATGGAATTAAGGTCAAGGGATATCGTAGACAATTCCAATCGTAATCGTGGATTATCAGTTATTGTTTGCTACTCTATAAACTAACATCCATCCACAGGCATAAACTACCTGGAATGTTTAATTTTTTTTAATTAATACAAAATGTTTTCAAGGTTTAAAAATAGGCCACTGAAAAAAAGTTTTGTCGAGGGGGTCATGTGCCCCCGACGCTACACCTCTGTGAAATCATAAAGGTCGACCATCTGTTTCCGGTTTAGTGTAACAAAAACAAAATATTCATTAGTTTTCCAGAAGGTGATCTGATGATCGACTCCTTTCATAAGTGCCCTTGCTCACTAAATTTTATAATAACGTAGAGAAAATTAGCCAGTGGTGAGAAAGAAAGAAAAAATTTTTGCAGTTAATTACAACTACTTTATAACAAACGTAGTTAAGCACGACTTTTGTAGTGATTACGAACTAGTTTTGAAATGTAGTTTCCACTTCATCATTTTGAACTTCACTGGAAAACTTAATTTACACTCATGTTCAAATTGATTTTGAATAATGATAATAAAAAGGCTTATTCAAGCATAAGTTATTATTAAGAAATATTTGTTCATGTTTACATGGGCTAGTGAATTATCCGCGATCGCAACGCTTGATTACGCCATCTGGGAAGAAGACCAGTTCCATGTCTTGACTCCTTTTCTTTTTCCACCTCTGCTTAGTTGTATGGGAATATACTACGATATTTTCCCTTTCCATAGTATTTTTCCCATTTAATTATCAAAAATATTTTTTAAAATTTCCTCGATGCTTTCTCTAAGAACTATGTTTAAAGCAGTTTTGAGTTCCATATAGTTTTTAAACTTAAAAAAAATTATTCTATTTGAAAACCAAGACAAAAAACTTACTTCCCTTCCCCATGACTATCCACAAGCTAATGGTGAAAGCATGTGAAGTGTTGCCATAGGTAGAGAGCTCTCTGCGCCACCTGTAGCCCATTTCGATCACCAATTCTAAACAATTTTTTACAAAGTTGCTCTTAAAATCTTTAACTTTCAAAGCTTTCCTCGACAGCGAATATGTTCCTTTCCATTGGAATAACATGTACACATTCTTTTAGTATAGGCTGTTG